GATACAATCAGATTATTCATATGTATCTTATAGTGCCGATTTAAATGTTACGCCACATGTTGCTAAAAAATCTAAAGTTTTAGACAAATATAATCCATTCCGCAAACATTTAGATATAGAAGAAGCGATTAAATTACATAATAGAAGACAATACAAGAAAGCATGGAAATTATTTAAAGCGATTGAAGTAAAAACTGGGTCACCTGAAGCAAAATTTTGTGTAGGATATTATTATCTTAAAGGTCATCATGAGGGTCGTGGTGGTAAACCAGACCCAGATTCAAGTTTAAAATATTTATATCAGGCGGCGAAAGAAGGTCAACGTAACGCTCAATATTGGTACGCTGAAGTAATATTAAATTCAAATTATAATTTAAAAGCCCAAAAAGATGACAGAAACCATCAACTTGCGATCCAATATTTAGAGAAGGCTTCAAACCAAGGTTGTATTTCCGCTATGAGAGACTTGGGAGAAATTAGGAAGAAAGGAAAGTACGGTAGCTCTCCTGATAAGTATGTTGGAAAAGATTTGATTAATAAAGCTCGCACTATGAGCTTACTTTGTACCCTAGACGGTATACAGTAAGTTAGAACTTTGCACTTGTAAAAAAAAAAAAAAAAAAAAAATACATTATTAATATAGTAACACTTTGCATTATTTTTAATCATTATTTAAAACATGTGATAATTTAATCATTGTTACCTTTATTTTTTTTTAAGCTATTTAGTAAATGTGGTATTGATACAAAAAAATTACAAATGAATAAAATGAATATGAAATCAATTTTTACGCCAAATTTCGACTTTTGAAACCCGAATTTTGTAAATCTTCCGAAACCGTTATATAAATACAGCGTTATTCTAATTTTTACTGACCATCATAAAATATATACAGTGACTTCCATAATTATTGTACCACTTCGTTTGTAATTTTTAGATTGTAATAAATAAAAATTCGATGATCGAACGATTTGCAGATTTAATTAATGTATCGTCCGAGTCTTCTTTTATAATATATTCAAATTCAAATTTCTTTTTATTTATAATTTTAAAAAAAAATTCTTTCATAACCATAAATTTTATGGTACAATACTTCTGACACATATAAAAATAAAATCAAAAACAAATTTTTCAAATTTTTTTTAACAAAACTATCACCATCTCGTATATCCCCATTAGCCTTAAGTACATCTTTAACTCGTTGTGGCATAGTATCAATTAGTTTTAAACAAAAATCAGCATCAATTTGATTCCATACTAATTGTATCTTATTCCACAAATCTTCTGCACTAGTAGTAATATTATCAGGAAGCTGTCGCAAAACGATGATCAATTTCATTTCACAAATGTTCAATGGGGTTTAAATCCGGTGATTGTGCTGGCCAATCTAAAATTTTAATATTATTGTCATCAAACCACTCGTATGTTTTCTTTGCTGTATGTTTTGGGTCATTATCCTGTTGGAAAATGACATCATTTACATTTAAATCACATGTGCTAAGGGTCCCCTAAAAACTCATCTCCCAAAATTTCTCTATATAACTCTCCCATCCAAGCCAAAAATTAAGAATTTACTCTCATCTGACCACACTACTTTTCACCAATATTCTATAGTCCAATTCTTATATTTTTTAGCAAATTTTTTTCATGCTTTTCTATGTCTCTTTAGCAGCAATGGTTTTTTTTAACTTTAGCTACAAGACCTTGCCTTTTCAATAAGCGTCGAATAGTATTTGGTAAAATAACAATATTTTCGTTGGAAATTAAAGATTTTTGAATTTGAATAGCATTTGTACATTTACCCGACTTAATAAGTCTGGCAATATTCCTATTATGACGTTCTGTAAGTATTCTTAGGCGGCCTAGTTTTAGAATAACATCAAAGCTGCCTGTTTCTTCTTTTCTTTGTTTACTTCTTATTACAGAAGCATGACTTATATTTTCGCAAGAAGCAATTGTACAACTTGGTAAACCTTCTTGTATAAGAGCAAAAATACGTTCCCTTTAGTGAAGTAGAATCGCCTTCATAATATATTTAAAAAAAACAAAAACAAAAGAAAGGTGTACAAATTGATCTACTGATTTAAATTTACTTATATGTATAAGATGCATCACATGATCATAACTTTATTATATTAATTTTGATTCCAAAAGTATTGTATCACGAAAAAATTTCATATAAAGAAATTTTTTAAAAAGCCACAAATTAAGTAATACTCGAATTTATATTAAAAATCCGATTACAGGCTTTAAATTAGTTTAAAATTTTAGTTTTATAGTCACTTTAATTATTCAGGTATCACGATCTAAAAATTAAAAATAAAGTGGTACAATAATTATGGAAGTCACTATATATATATATATATTTTGTATATTAACATTATCGTAAATTTTACATGTTATAAATAAGTAGTTACGCACATATGTGTATATATATAGCTTCTAATATTATGACTCCTAATATTTCACTACCATTAAGTTACATATTATATAATAGTTAAATATTCTGTAGTTTAGGTTTAGTCAAATTTTTCTGCTAGATTTATCATGAACAGCATAAAAACTGAAATATTCTTCTATTTTACATCCAAGTATTATTTCATTAAATTTTCAATTACACTTTCACACCTTCTTTAAAATAAAGTTGGCCAGTTTTAAAATAATTTGAATAAATTAAAATAAATCAATAATAGTATAAGTTATAAATAAGATTATCATAATAAATTACTAGAGAATGATCCTAACATTTATTACCTGAGCAATTAGATTATTAAATAAGTATTGCCTACATATAGCCTGTACAATACATACGTTAATTACAGTTAGTAGTAAACAAAAACTCAAAGGCTTAAAATAATACAAAAAGTATTTTTGAAACTCAACATTTATGCATTTGAAAGATATTAGATTAATAGCATTTACAGTAGCGGTCATAAGTATCCGACTGCCTGAAATTGTCCAAAATTATTATATAACTACCCCTTAAATTTTCCAGAAATATAATGTAATACAATACATAATCATCTGTAAATTTATAAGTGTTAATGATACAAAAAAAAAATTTAGATGATCATCAAACTTTTGCTTGAAAAATGGAAC